TTACTTTGTTCCTATGGGCGCTTCATCCGTCCCGGCTTAAATTTGACATCCTTCGTCTCCCTAAACTTGGGCGTTCTGGCTCTTCCGTAAATTTTCAGGTACCATGTGGCATGTCATTTAGCATGGGTGTTTGACTGGTGCAGGCATGGCTGATCTAAACAATGGGTTCACATTGAACAGGTAGCATTATCTAATCCTCTTTGTACATTGCTGTGGTGCTCTACTGATATACCTGCTTTTATTAAGATGCACTCTATTATTGGTCACACTCCGGAGGTTTGCAAAAAATCTTTTTCCTCTGTAAACATTTACCCTTCGTCATCGCCTCTTTTCCCAATAATTGGTAATACTGCTTTTGCCCTGGGTCTGGGCGATCCCTTTTTCAGGGTTTTTAATGCCCTCCATTACCTTCAGGGCACAACATTTTGTTACTGTGAATTCTTGGCCTACCCGTGCACAACTGGACTCCGATGCCCGACGCCTCTGGCGTAAGACTCAATTAGTACATTTTTAAAAATCATTGTCTGAGGCCCATCTCTTTGACCAACCGCTCACCTCCTCTGAGGACGAATGTGTCCGCTCTGAACCACTTTGCTATACGATCTCTTTGATGTATACCTTACTTAATGCTCCACCTGTTTCTTCTGCCTTGCCTTACCTTAGGAAATGGGAACATGATTTGAATCTTATCCTGATGTCGGACCAACGGAATCGTATCTTGTTTTACTCTCGCAAAACCTCTCTTTCCACTAAATACCAGAAATTGGAATTTAAAATACTTACCCGTTGGTATAAGACCCCACAGGTATTACATTTTCTGTTTCTGTCTTCTCCTAATCGATGCTGGTGGTGTGGCCTAGATGAAGGTAGTATTCTTCACATATTCTGGTCATGTCCTGTTCTGACACCTTTCTGGGAGGAGGTTCAACAGTTTTTTAGAAATGTACTGATGTCCAGATCTCCTCTGACCTGGCCTTTACATCACAATTCTTATGCCAGGAAAACGTACAAATGGTCCGTCGTTTCTCATCAGATCAATGCTGCCAGAAGTTGTATACCTGACTTTTAGAAACAACAACAAGCCCCTCATATAGCTCTGTGGATCAATAAAGTGAATGAGATTGCAGGGATGGAGGGACATATATCTTCTGCCAAGGGTACTCAAGAGCAGGTTAGCCACACTTGGTTTTATTGGGTGGACGTTACCTATTTGACTGAATATGAGGACCTTCTGCGCTCTATCAATGGCTTAATTGTGCCTGTAGGCATGCAGCCTTTGGTTCTGGGTGGGAGAGGGATCCCATGCTTTCTGTTTCCTCTGCTGCTTTTCTTCTCTTTCATTTCTTTCTTCCTTTACCTCCTATTTTTCTTTTTTCTGTTCCATTCTCTTCATAATCTCTATATCTTGTCTTTGTTGTAGCCCTATTTTTTCTCTGTTTGTTTACCATACGAATGGTCCTTTTCTTTTTTCTCCTTGTTACCACTGCCTGATATGCCAGGGGGGCCTGGTTTGCTTTGTACAGACATGGGCGTAGGTTAGCTACCAGGTTGGGGTATTCATCGTGATATTTGTGTTTCACTGTGATGACTGACATTTATCTTTTTGATATCTGCTATATTGGCTGCTTTTTATTTTCCACAACTTCTTGGTATCTTTTCAGTGCCTTTACTTCTTTTGCTGGTTGTTTTTTTGTATTTTTTGTATATCTTGTCTCGTTCTTTCATATATAATGCTTGTAAAAAGTTGCCTAAATTAAGAATTTGAAAAAAGAAGTTTAGGAAAACATTTTTTGGGGATACACCTCAAACACAAAGTCATCCTCTCACTGCCTCCCTCAAAGTCACCAGATATTATACTCAGTGGCACTGTGAGAGGCTGTAGGGAAAGCCTGTGAGCACTACACTAAATTCTCTAAACAGAACTGTCCCACCGTACGCCTGGCCCAAACCCGCTGTATGTCAATCCCACGTGACTATACGCAGTTCTGAACTGAGAGTGGGCGTCACGAGGACGTGGCGATATCACTCTAAGCCTCACCCTGCAGAGAGATTTTCTAGCTCGAGGGACACAATCTCAGGCCAGCAGACTGAGAGTGATCGTCACCAGGGTTGGTTAACTCCAGAGTTAACCCTTTACACACCAAACGTTTGCTGCCACCATGTGTTTTTTAACGGAAACACAGACCGTGCCCAGCAAGTGCTGTGACAATTTAAAACACTTAACCAAAGCCTATGATACCGCTGTCCTCTCAGACAGAAATATGACAGGACTCACTATACAGTAGCGCTCTACACAGAGGCAAGGATACTTTAAGTTCGTATTTAGAGCAAAGAGATAAGCTTAATGATTTTTAAGATTTTAAGATCGTCCTTTAATAAAACAAACGGTGCAGATAATATACATAAAAAGATATTAATAAAAAGAGACAAAATATATATATACAGCAGTAAACTAAAAGGGAATAAAAGGTGAATACTTAACACTCCTGGTTTTAGGACTTCTGACAGAGTTCAATAAGCAAATGAGAAGTCTGAAGGGCTCTTGTTCAAGCAGGCTTTCAGCAGATGATGTCCAGAGATTAAAGGGGAACTCTTCTGCAATGTTAAGACTTCTTGATGTTGCTGGAGTTACTTTCTTGATGTTTTAGAACAAAAGCCATCTCTAGCTACGTTCAGCATCATTTTGTCAGCCCTCTAGGGGGCAGGGCTGGGGATGGAAAGCAGGAGGAGGATGAACCTTTATTTTACACCATCACCGCCCAAATCCAAATTATGAAATGTAGCTGATATTGTAGCTCAGGTTTATGACGTTCGTGTGAATGCTGGGTCACCTGGGTCATTACCTCTACCAGACCTGCTTGTGTTTATATTAACTTGTCCACAGGTAATAGATAAGTGCCTGGTTGCATACCTTTAATTAGGGTCGCCATAAAAGGTTTAGAGGGTTATTTGGGACTCACACTAGGCCTGGGGGGCAATAAAGATCACAGGCCAGATAAGCACATCTCTGTTCTGTGGAATGTGGAAGGCCTGGCAAATGACTAAATGAAGGCCTGCATTTGCTCTGAACTGGGGGACAAGCGAATGCTATTTTTAATATTCAGACTCAAACCCCACTATCGTCACAAGCTGTCACAGACCTACTCGGGCCGGAGCTCCAATACCTGCGTTGTCACTGCTCATACTTACAGGATGACTGGGTTGAATTACTGCCCCTTGCAGAATTCGCCTTTAACAACTCCCTCAACTCATCTACCCAAAGCTCACCTTTCTTCGCAAACTATGGGTTCTATCCGAAACCTCTTCCACTTACCTTCTTACCAACTAATATTCCATCCACCAATGACTACCTCAGGCAGATACAACGGAACATCACTCTACTTAAGAACAACCTAAACCGGGCCCAGCAAAGGCATAAACGATTTTACGGCCTAAGAAGACGTCAACCTCCACAATATCATATTGGTGATCCGTGGCGTCACAAGGGGGTGCGGGAGGTTTGCGGCCCGCACCCAGGTGACACCATTGGACGGGTGACACCAAAATGACTCGCAGTCATTTTGGTGTCACCCCCCTCTGAAAAGTCGGGCGCTCGGTCATGGACTGAACGACCAACAGTATCAGGAGAGTGGAGGGGACCCGGCGGCATACCTTATCCCGCCGGTGACTGTCCCCTCCTCTCTCTGCCGGCGTCCATCACCAAGATGGCCGCCGGCAGGCATCAGAATACTGCCGCGCGTGTGTGCGATGACGTCATCGCGCACGTGCGTGGTGATGTCACGCGCATGCACGCTGACGTCTCGGCGGGGTGACACTCGGTTACCGCTCCGGGTGTCACCCAGCCTCGGGACCTCCCTGTTGGTGATCTTGTATGGCTGTCAACCAAACATCTCGCCATCAAGGCTCCATCCAGGAAACTCAGTCGGTTGTACATTGGACCCTTCCCTATAGAAAGAATAATGAAGCCAGTTGCTGTCTGCCTCACGCTACCATCTTCATTGAAGATTCACCCAACATTCCATGTATCACTCCTAAAGCCTCATCGGCCTAATACATTCCGCAACAGGCAGACTCCTGCACCTCCGCCAATCATGGTCCAAGGAGAACAAGAATTTGAAGTAGAGCAGATCTTGGACTCTCGCCTCCACAGGGGCAGGCTGCAGTACCTCATCAGGTGGAAGGGGTTTGGTCCCCTGGATGATTCTTGGGAGGATGCTGACGTTCACGCCCCTCAGTTGCTGAGGCGGTTCCACTAGAGGTACCCCTCTAGACCCGCTCCGCAGATGCACCCCGGTGGGGCTTCCTTGAGGAGGGGGTACTGTCACAGACCTACTCGGGCCGGTGCTCCGTGGCTGCGGCGCACCATCCCGTCCATGACATCACGCCCGACTCCTCCCACTGGCCGCGGCGCCTGCTCAAGAACACAGGTGAGCCACTCACTCGGCGTTCTATCGTTGTGCAACGTCGAGCGAGCTGCTCTTTCAGAGACACAGCTTCCTGCTGAGACAGTTAGAGAGAGTTGCGCTGAGACTGCTGCCCAAGGACACAGCACCAGTTCCAGCCACAGAGTGTATTGTGGTTCCGCCAGACTGATCCAACCCCTTACTCCTTGATCACCCGCTCCGCAGCTGAGACCCAGGAATAACTTGTATACTGCTGGATTGTGACACAAGCATCCCCCTCCACTCGTTCCTTCGTTCACAGAACAGGCAACTGTGCAAAGCATTTTACTGAGGATATTGCCCATGAAGTTGGTTCCATTAATTAGTAAGGGTTCACAGTTACCTTTATTATTTTAAAAATGTGTTTAATGAAGACAAAATGCAATGACAAATAAAATAGGGTTTCTTTACATATTTTTCTGACTTAACTGGGAATCAGATCACATTTTTAGAAGCCATCATGCAGAAAGCCAAATATTTCTAGACAGTTCACATTTTCTTTCTCTCCCAGCTGTATATATTAAGTTTAGATTTTCATTATTTCTTCTTGCTATGAAGAATCTTGGATTTTCGAAGAATTCCTCCTGTGGTTGGGCGTCTAGTGAATATTGCCAGAGAAGTTAGAGATATCACCACAGACAGGAAATTATTAAAAACGTTCTACATCTCCCCAGGTAAGAAAATCCTCTGAATAATTTGTAAGCAGACCCCAATCAGTATTACCATGAAATTTTTCGCTGAAAATAAATCTAATGTATGTTGCCAGCTTGAGTTAAAGTTTTCTTGTACATAGATGCAGCACAGACCAAAAATATAGTGATAGAATTGTATTAAGTGTAAGACCAGGGTATGCCAAAGCTTGGTAGCAACAACATGTTTTGAAAGAAATTAGAATTAGATTTTGAGTATATTAAGCCCTGTTTGCCATGTCATGGCTCTATGTTCAGAGGTACAGAATTAATTTTTAGTATTTGTGTCATGATTTATTAGCAATTTTAGTAGCATAACTGAACTAGAAAATCTGCTCTGTGCTCTTGTACTGGATGATCCTTGCGGAGTTTTTTTTATCAGTGAAAATATATTCTAGCCAGTGCTGATCTGATGTTAAGACTTCGCAAAACTTTTATTTATGCTTTTTTTCCCAAAGACAATGTGAGTTGATGTGGCCCACTTTTATGTAGTGGTGAGGCTGGTGTGGTCAAATGACCCTGAGAGCTATACTAGCCAGAGCATAGCTATTAGTCAGCCACCTCGGCAAAAAGAGATACACTTATCTTCCAGATTTAGCATGGGACTAACAACTTCAGCCCGTAAAAAATAGGTAACATATAAATTTAGTAGGTAATATATATTTAGCCTTATACCTTCATTTAATAAATTCCTTAAAAAAATAATTAATTAATAAAACACGGATTTATCATAATTTTTAGAAACACAGCATACACATAAATGTAATGAACTTAAACTGACCATAAATTAATTTTTTTATGTTCAAATTGCAGATTGAACAAAAAAATAACAGATTCCTCCATCCACGATAAACAGTGTGGATGGATTAACTTTCTGCTGGATTATCGTATTCTGACAGTGGTGGGTGTGTTGCTGCCAGAATACCCAAACACTGATGAAACTTTTCTGACCGGCTCCTTCAATTTTCTGATCGAAGAATGCTGGACGGAAAACTGTTCTTGATGAAGAATTGAAGGCCAGTTCTTCATCAGGAACCTTCTGAAAGTCGCACTGTGTATATTTACTCCTCATAGAACATAATACTATAGGTGGTTTGTCTTTTCTCTAGATGACTTAGCTGTAGTCTATTTCCTTACAACATTTGTGTGAGCATGGATTGCACCATGTAATATAAAGAAGCAATTAAAGGATCAGTTACACATTTATACGTAAACATTTGACAAGAAGGAATGTTCAATTTAAAATGCAAGATCAAAAATCTTCAGATAATGTTAAATTTAAAGTGCACAACGGATATGCTAAAATGATGGATCATAGCTGGTCCAATACATGGAAAATAAACAAAGATCAACGATAAATATAAGTAGCATAAATTAATGTTGTTACCATGTGAATATTGCTGCCCTTTACAAATGGATAGTTTGGACATATATGGAAGAATTCTAAGCCACTCACAGCAGTGTATAAGCAGCAATATTTACAGGCAACATTTTGTTGGGACCAAAACCATAATCCTTATGGATACAGACAGGATGTAGATGAGGGCATAAATGCATTGTTTCCTACTAACACAAATGAGAAACATAGAGTAAAAGTGACAACAAAAACAAGGGTACACTTGAGTTGTAGGACGTAAAAAAGGTATGAAAAAAAAAGGAATAAAGATGATTTACCACTTAGAAATAGAAAATACAAGGGTGGGCATAAGACAAGGGGGTACAAAGGAAGGCAGTAAAAACCTACAAAAAGATGGAGACACAGGGAAATCAGTTTTCTATTACTGTATTGGTTGGATAGCAATGCATAAAAAAATGGGCTGAAAATCTCGGGTTATACTCGAGTATATACGGTAAATGAAAATACTTTTTACTTGTTTATAGAAACTTCAGTTAGTGTACCAGTGTAACACAAGTACAGTGACCTTTCTGCAGACAATACATGACGCTACATTGTATAGTAAAACACTTTTTATCCGTCTCTTTTCCCTTCACCTCTCCATATCAAATATTGTTCTGAAGTAACCAGAATGATGGTTTCCATGGATACTTTAGAGATATGGGTCTCAGCCCTTTTCACTGAAATGTAGATCGGTACTGTATCCAGGTATAGGGCACTTTGAAGACTTTTCAGTGTTTTATGTTTGAAATAATTGCCTATAATAATATTTTTAATCTTCTGTTGTTTCAATGTATAGAGAAATCTAGAAGTTTAATAGCAGATGAGACTCCCTATGATTCATACAATGGAAAGCAACTTCTTCTAATTGTATGATTACTCTCTCTCATTCAACTAGAATATATGACTGCACAGATCAGCTGCCATATCTACAATGACTGCCATGTCCTTGCCCTCTTCTCAATATCTATGTCTATGTATTTTTAGCTGTCTCCCTACAGGAAAAGAGTTAATGGAGAAAAGCTGTTACTAAGAATGATAACCATATCAATAAAACATTTAGAACTCAGCAGGGGTGATACTAAGATTGTGAAAGACCTATGGCAACCTTGGCCAATTAAAGATGAGAATGATGTGGCACATGTAGCATGCTGCAACAAATAGTGGCTGCTGCTCTGACAAAGGTAGAAGCTTAATTGTATAACTGGTAACAAATTGTTGAGTGCGTTTGTGCGCCCGGTATTTTTGTTAATAGCGGTCATCAGCGGCTTGTAAGCCGCTGATGACAGCTATTATTTTGGAGGGGACAGTCAGCTGAACAGTTCTGCTATAAGCTTATGGTCGCTAAATCGACCATGAGTTTATAGCAGAACTGTAAATGCCACCGACGTAAGGCATACTGAGCTGGCCAGCCGGGAACACTTTTGTTCCGCCGTATGCCTTACGTCGGTGGCAGCGAAAGGGTTAAAGAAGAAATTCAGCAGAAATATGGTTAATCCTAATAGTTGCATTGAACTACAAGGGTTAAGTGCTCATTTTCGTCTAGGGACAAAAAAAAAAAAAAAACTCTCCTGAGTTGGCTGGCTGTTAGACTGCCAGAGCTGTGGGGGAGAGAAGCTGCAGGGACCAGTCTAAGTCATGTGTATAGGACGTGAGGATGCCAAAGAACTTTATAGCGCTAGAGCGAACGAGGAGACAGGCTGCAGGAACAGTCTAACAGCCAGCTGGCTGTTCTCCTTTAAGGGCTTGCTCACACCAGCAGCCATGCTCAACCGCATGTGCGTCTGCCCGTACATTGTGGATGCACTCGAACAAGCCACATCGTACTGTTTCTTTTTTTTGTTAAAACTCGCCTTGCGACAGTGAGATGCAGTTGCACCGCGTCCCACTGCGGTTTGCTTAAAAAAAGTAATGCATGCAGTTGCGTCACAAGGGGAGTGCGGCCCGCACCTGGGTGACACCATGGGAGGGGGTTACACCAAAATGACTAACAGTCATTTTGGTGTCACCTACTCTGAAAAGTCGGGCACTTGGTCATGGCCAGGTGAACATCCCCTCCTCTCTCTGCCTTCATCCATCACCAAGATGGCCGCCGGCATGTAACAGCATTACAATGTGTGACGTCATCACGAGTGTGCGTGACACGCACCGGGTGTCACCCCCCCTCAAGATGCCTCTGAATGCATGCCGTAAAAAATGTAGCCCAGCCCGAATAAAGATGGTGTGAACGAGCACTAAAGGAGCATACTTAAAGCATTTATACCAATTGTTAAATGTGGTGGCTGTATTTTTATTTTATTTTATTTTAGGCTTTTTTGCCTTTATTTTCACCAGTTGATCTAGCCAGTAACACACTTCCTGGCCTAGGGTGGCTATATTTTATGGAGGAGCAACAGAGCCACCCTTCGACTTCTCTGTAGAGAAGGTAATGTCAGATGCAGTAGCAGATTTAGATGGACTTGACTAACAAACTAAAGCCAACTACCAGCTAACACTTTTTAGGCTTACAGCACCCTTTTTTTTTTCTTTTGGGATAAAGGTTTTACATAAATAAATAAAAGCTGACCATTGTAAGCACCCCTGTCAATGTTAAATGGTTTGTCTCGGCCCTCTAACTGCTACTTTTACTGGACAGCTTGGTCTGTTAAAATTGGTTGAAAAATAACAGTATGTGCAGAAGACCTGATGGAAAAAGGCAAGAAAATGCCCAGGAGGCGCACAGGAAGTGACCACAACCTGATGGAAAAAGGCGGAAAAATGCCCAGGAGGAGCACAGGAAGTGACCTCAAACTTCAATCATCACTTCCCTATATAAGCCCAGCCCAGACACTGCCCAATTGCTGGATTATCTTCAGTCCCCCTTGTTCCTGTGCTAGTGTGTGATCTGTCTGAACTTGTTGTGACCTGGAAACCTATTTGACTACTCTTGATTGCTGCCTGCCATTGACCTCGGATTTGTACCTTGACCATTCTGCTTCTTTGCCCCTTTTGTACTCAGGTGCCAGATTGGAACCTACCCCGGCTTGGATCTCGACCATTCTTCTCGGACTAAGCCTTGCACGGTGCTCCGCACCCCTGGCACCCGTGCCACTCGGTGTCCACCAAGTCTCTGTCTCCATCTCCAGAGACTTCAAGGACCCAAGGTGCAAGGGAGGCCTCCCCACTACTTCGGTCTCACCTCAGGTACGTGGCTCCCGTGGCAGAATAATCCAGCCATGTCTGAGACTGAGGGGAGTGCTTCCGCCTTCGAGGCCCTGTGCCAACAAGTGGCCTCTGTGTCTCAGGCCCTGACGACCATAAAGGAGGGGTACTTTCAACTGGAAGGTCAGATGACTGCAATGGGCAATGCCTCAGTTCTGAGCCCTGCGGAACTCCCTGAACCACCTGTTATGGCTATGGAGCAGCCCATCTCTACTCCAGCTCCTGAACCACGTGTTCCTATGCCGGAACGCTTTTCAGGGGTTCGCCACAAGTTCCGGGTCTGTCGGGTATACTTTGCTTTACAGCCTAGGACCTTCTCTTCAGAGGATACAAAGGTCGGGTTTGTGGTAGCCTTACTTACAGAAGAACCTCAGGCATGGGCTCATCA